CGAGCCTTAGGAGAATAATATACGGTAAGCAACTTATTATTATTAGAATAATAATCATCACTGTTAATTTGAAAGCTCGCCTTTGAGATAAAAAGTTTTCTCTGCTCGCTACATCGACTTGCTGAGCTGCTATTTGCTTTTCATGACGATGCACCTGACGATAAACTATCACGTTGCAGATTACAGTGATTGTAATAAGTGAAACTATAACAGGATGCTTAATATATCTAACCAGTTCCTCGTCAATGAGCAACATAATGTGCATGATTGTGGTCAATGTCCATGCAAGAGCTGTGGCAATCAGAAAACGAGTCTTGGTGACGGTTTCAATGTAGGCATAGGGACGCATGATGGCGATATACCGATCCACAGTCATTAGGAACAGGTGAACAAAAGAAGAGAAGCAAAAGAAGCTGATGAAAAATCCTGTGGCACTTTGTACTGAGCATACACCGGCTGTGGCCTTCCCTTGGATGAGGTTCACCATCAAAGTAATAAAAAGTAATAAGAAGAGGCTGGACCACTAATCCGACCATCATGTCAGTCAAGGCTAAGCAAGCCAATGTTATGTTAGACATGCTCTGCAAGCGTGGTTTAGCCTTCACAGCGATCATCACCAACAGATTCAACAAAATGGTAAAAGGGCAGGTCGTGGCGTGGATTACGATCAAGGCAACGAGAACAGCGTAGGCTAAATCTGACAAATGATCTGGCTTTCCACGAATTAAACTGTAGACAACACAGTTCACAGGGAAGTCGTTTTGAATCTCGTGACTCGAGTCCATCTTCTCTTCTCTACTCCGTCTTGGACCTGTTAACCCTACGAAATGTAGTCTTTTTCTGGTTTTTGTTTCGGCCAAATGTTTCATGTTTTAAAAGTTTCCCTTGAACGAAATTTAAGATGGCCTATGCTATTTTACATCACAAGTATAAAGAGAAAGAGACTAAAAGTAGAAAAATAGTTTATTTGCCTCTTCAATACAAAGCGAAAAGAACCTTTCGGCTCTTTTCCAGACCTTTCTATTTCAAATAGGTTTAGACAGCAGCATTAGATGACTGAAGCCGGCTAATTCACTAGCAGTAATTCAGGGAGGATAAGATTCAAAATACATTAACAAGTGACAAACGTTTTATTTTCTGATGATTTTCCGTATTTGCATCTTGCATAATTCATTTTCCTCTTTAAAACAAAGCGAAAAGGATAATTTTGCTTTTTTCCGGACCTTTTTATTTCAAAAAAGGGTTAAGCAGGGTTAATATAACTAAAACAATGATTATCATTAATTCATGAGCCGGGGATAAATTTCAAATATGATCAGTTTAATGTGACAAATGCATTACTTTCAAATAATGTTTCGTGTTTCTATCCCGTTTGCCACTCAAAAGAAAATGTTTCGAGTATTTTCCTTGAATTTCCTCTAAGATGAAAAAGTTCAGTCTAGCGGATAACATGGACACATTTTCACAACTGTTATAAGGCTGTATTGTGACGTGTTTACAGAACAGGTATCCCAAGCTCGCGCGTCACAATTTGATTGTTGTTGCACAATGTCGTAAATTATAAGAGATTTATGGCAGAAATACAACAGTATGATTAAAACGTGCTGGAAATGCTCGTCAAAAAACTCCACGCATTAAATGAAATGTGGAGGCAAGCTAGGGGAAGCTGGATGATTGTTTTAACCCTAATTTTGTGATCACCAAAATTACAGTTTAAGATGGATTCTCTTTGGTGAGTTTGGTGCTCCTGTGTTTACAGGTTTCATTTTATAGGCTAATAGTAAAATAAGCGAGGCGACAGATCTATCAAAATACTTAGGAGCGCTAATTACAAAGTCGTAAAAGTGAGAATCTATCTTAACGTTTTATATTACTCAGAAAAAAAATTAGTTCTGTCCACTTACACAAAGATCTCTCATATATCGAGTACGACCAAACAAAAATAGACACCAAACCTATTCCAGTATGCATATCAAAGCCAGCGAAAAATTAAAACGAAGAAAGATTCAGTCAATTAACAGGAAATCCTTTTTAACAGTTATTTTGGGATATTTCCCTTAGCCTTAAAACTAAACTGATTTTGCGATTAGTAAGTAAAGTTCTTTCATTTTAAAAAACATGCTGAAAATGTTGTGGCTAATGAGGACAAAACATTGAGTCAAGTGAAAAACTGTTTCGTTGCAAAGCGTTAAAAAGAGGCGTACGTCATATGCAGACGAAAAGGGAAAAGTAAATAAACTTTCATGGCACGGTTTTTATCCATGAGTTTTGGGTTCCTATGTTCACAAGTGAGATATTTCATTTAATAGGCGAATAGTAAAATTATATGTCTTGAAAATCAACCCATTCGAATTCACTTTCTTTTAAAGCAATGACTAAAGGGGGAACAGATAAATCAAAATAGTTAGAAGTGATCTCTGTATTAGTCAAGAGAATTACTTTAAAAGTACCAAAGAGCCCCAAAGCTGAGAGTTGTTTTAAGGTTTACGTCTGAAAGAAAGTAGTTTACACAAAACTCTCATATGTTCTGATGTATCGCGTACGATCAAACAGAAATATATTAATAGACACGAAACTTATTAATGCATAAGAGAGATGGAGCGAAAATTCAGAATTCAGAATTCAGTTAAGCAGGAAATCCTTTAAAAAGGCGAACGTCATTTGGAAACAAAACCTTTTGAGAAATGATCGACCAGAACAGGTGCTATTCCAGAAAAGCAAACCTTAGTTGGGGAAATTATAGTGCTGCAGATATTTACCACTTAATTTAATCGCTACTTTGGGATATTGTCCATAGCCAAACAACTAAGACCTTTTTTGCGATTGGAGGGTAAAGTTATTTTAATTATATTTTATTCCATTTACTTTTTTTAAATGATCAAGATAACTTCGCAATAAAAGAGCAAACAAGGGTATTGGGTCAATTGAAAGATGTTTTATTTACGTACGTCATTACGCGGACGAAAGTAGAAAAGAAAATCAACTTTCACGACACGGTTTTCATGAGGGAGTTTTTTTTGTTCATGTGTTTACAAGCGGAATATTTTTTAATATAAGTCCACAAAATAAACCCATTCGAATTCATTTTCGTTCAGTGCAATGACTAGAAGGGGACAGATATATCAAAATACTTCTCTAGGAGAGAATAACGTTAAAAGTACCAGAGTGTTTTAAGGTTAACGTCTGAAAAAAAGTAGTTCTGTATCTTTCCACAAATATTTCATATATATCGCATACGATCGAACAAAAATAGACGTGAAAGTTATGCATAAAGATAGAAAAATTAAAATCAAGAAACAATTCAGTTAATTAAGCAGCAAATTCCTTTAAAAAGGCAAACGTCATTTGAAAACGAAAACCTTTTGGGAAATGATCGACCAGAACAGGTGCTATTCCAGCAGAGTTTGACTAATAGTCGCGGGTCGCGGGTCGCGGGTCCAAAGTCGCGGTCGCGGGTCCAAAGTCGCGGTCGCGGGTCCAATGTCGCGGTCGTGGCTCCAATGTCGCGGTCGCGGGTCCAAAGTCGCGGTCGCGGGTCCAGTGTCGCGGCAGGGAAAAATGATTTGGGGTTCGAGGTAACAGCTGAGTGAAAACGGCTGATATGAACACAATATAAAGGGAAAAACTCTTTTTTATGCACGATACTCCACGGTTGCCAATTTACAGGTTACGGATGTTAGAGTCAACAAAATAATGTCTCAAGAAAAGACCTAAAAAAAAAAAAGCTGGCCGACTTCTGTGTTCAACGCAAGTTTATTTTGTTTTCTTTCTATCGGGCCCAGTTATACTTATGCATAACAGTATCTGATAAAAAAGTTACCATAAATTACCATGCTTTTTTCTTGTCGATGAATTGCTCACAAATGCTTAGGGGTTCATTTACTGAAAAATAGGCGATACACTTCATAGACTACAGATTATAAACGTTACAACAACTTAAAGCCTTTTTTTAAAAAAAGCGAACTCGGGTTCAAAAAGCTACGAGTCTGTCGGTAGAAGAAACGAGAACTCTTATATTTAACAAATGTTTTCGACAAAACTGAAAGAAAATGTAAACAGGCGCATGAAACTTCATTCAAGCGGTATTCAAGGCATGAATTTAATATGGAAACAAGTAATAATCCACAGAAAGGAGTCTGTTCCTCGAAGCAAGATTTTCGCTTAATGCTTTTCTTTTTACAACTGAGACGGCAACCCGGAATGTTCAATATAACTTCTTGTTCTCTTCACCTAAATGGCAACCAGGACAACCTGACAATAGGAAGCCATTCAATGTGCGTCTCAGTCAAATCTTGAAAACATGCATCGTAAATAACCAAGTGAGTAAGTAGGTAAGGAAATAATAACGCCCGATATCATGAAGCTGAAAAAGAAAGTAAGCCAGACACTGAAAACGGTAAGTTATCAACTCCACCAGAGCTAAGAAAAGACAATAAATTAGGTAAGTAATTCCAGATTCCAGGTACTGGATTGAAGTCTTTGTCAGTAGAACCAAGAGACTATGGTCTATTCTGTCTTGGTAGAACTTGGATTCCGGATTTCAATCGTTAGTGGGAACAAACTCCTTTCTGTGGACAAGAGAGGATAAAGCTCGAGCTTTATCCCCTCTTGCTGTGGATTATTACTTGTTTCTATATTAAATTCATGCCTTGAATATCCACTTGAATGTACTTTACTGGCACTTAAAGCCCAACGTCTCTCCTCCTCTTTCCAGTTACTTGAGCAAAGAGTTTATTTTGGGAGTTTGCGACCAGGAAGTTTTTCAACAAGCGTTTTCTTTATTTTTGCCGAAAACATTTGTTAAAATTGAAACAGTTCTCGTTTCTTCTACCGACAGACTCGTAGCTTTTCGAGCCCGAGTTAGCCCTTTTTTTATAAAAGGTTTTAAGTTGTTGTAACGTATATGATTTATAGTCTATGAAGTATATCGCACATTTTTCAGTGAATGCACCCCTAAGAATTTGTCAGCAATTCATAGACAAGAAGAAAACAATGGTAACTCAGGGTAACATTTTTTATCAGATACTGTTATGCATAAGTACATTCAAAGCTGAATTTATAGATAACTGGGCCCGATAGAAAGAAAACAAAATGAACTTGCGGTGAACACAAAAGTCGGCCAGCTTTTTCTTTTACGTCTTTTCTTGAGACATTATTTTGTTGACTCTAACATCCGTAACCTGTAAATTGGCTACCGTAGAGTATCATGCATAAAAACGATTTTTTCCCTTCATATTTTTTTCATATCACTCGTTTTCATTTAGTTACCTCGAACCCCAAATCATTTTCCCCTGCCGCGACATTGGACCCGCGACCGCGACTTTGGACCCGCGACCGCGACTTTGGACCCGCGACCGCGACTGTGGACCCGCGACCGCGACTGTGGACCCGCGACCCGCGACCCGCGACTATTAGTCAAACTCAGCAAACCCAGCTTGTTATGAAACAAAATTTGGGTATAAGATATTGCTACAGATATTTACTTTGCCGTTTAATTTAATCGCTACTTTAGGATATTGTCTATAGCCAAACGAAAAAAAAGTAAAACGTTTTTGCGATTATTTTTGCATATATTTTAAATGGTGAAGATAACTTTGCAATAAAAGAACAAAAGAGGTATTGGGTCAATTGAAAGATGTTTTATTTGCAAAGCCACTCATAAATGTCCCGCATGTCAAATTGATATTGCTAAAACGAGGAATGGGGAATGGGGAATGGGAAATTAAAAAATGTGAAATCGAGGGCAGTGTTCAGCTCTCCGATTCAGTTGTTGTTTAAAACGACGCAACGGTCAATGGCGTATAAGGTTGAATTATTATTTTCCTTTTTTTTCAAGCGCCTGCCTTTTGAAAGTTGAATGATTAGAAAAAAAATACTTTATGGTACTTAAGGCTGTCGTCCAGACTCATCGATGATTGCAGGGAAGCGATTCGCCGATTCCTTATAAGTATAAATATACCCATAAATAGAAGCTGTTTGCATTTCTGATAGTTGTATTGACAGAAAACATGTTATGCCTATTCTTAAATGTATTAAAAAACCGTAAAGTTAAGATAAAAGGAATCCAAAAATCGTCCAAATATATCAACACTTGTAAAGGAGATTCCGCTCGGCCACCCATCCAAGTATTTTCTGCACCCGACAGCGCTTAACTTTGAAGAACGAAGAAGACGTCTGCAGTCACAGGAGAAGCAAAAAACCCGCTCAAACTTCTACGATACAGCATGATCAAGCGGTACTGAAATTAAAAGGAACTCAGAAAAAGTATTGTAACTCAGTACAAGTATCGGCTGGGTCGCGATACGTCTTTCTGTTTTACTTCACGTTGTAAGACTAAAGTTCAGAACAAAAGCGAGGTAAAATTGTCATGAACTGGTGCATTTATATTTCACATTACAGACCAGCTACAACTACATAAATATCATGCGAGAACAATAAAACGAAGACCTCGTTCAGCTACTTTTTAATCACAGGGAATATTAGAAACGTATAAACTAGGTAACATCATGCAAGATATTTATATACTTTTATTATCTATATTAACAGCGAAAATCTCGCTATTGTTGTCACTCGACAAAAATTTTGATTTCTTTATGACTTTTTTTTTTGTACAAATTGTTAAGTGTCAATTGATACGTTGATTTTGTCGGCGTCTCTGATGACATTGACCTGGTTGGCACGCTGTTCCTCTCTCTCCCCATCTACTGATAATTAGACTTCTCCCATAAAATTGGCCTGGTTGGTGAGCTGTTCCTCTCTCTTGAAACCAAAAGATATCTTGACGTCTTTGACGACATTGGCATGGTTGGTGTGTTGTTCCTCTCTCTCCCCGCCTTGGGATGTTTCGAAGTATTTGATGACATTAGCCTGGTTTCCATGCTGTTGCCCTCTCTCCCCACCCAGGAGTATTTCGACGCCTCTGATTGCATTGGCCTGGTTTATAGTATTCTGTTCGCTTCTCTCTCCCCTCAGGTTGAATTCAAAATTAGCAACGATTGTTCCCAATATCTTTCTTTAAAATTCGTCAGCCTCATTGTGGTTTTTCCTTATCAGTAATTCAATGAATGCGACCCGAAACTGTCTTAACTTTATACAATAAATAAACGGATTAACAAGAGAGTTAAAGGCCGCTAAACTACCAACAACCATAAAAATGGAAGTCAACGTACCCAAGCTTACGACGTTTTTCAGGGGCTCCTTGAACCTTACGAAAGTAGTTCCAGGAAAATAACTTATAACTTTTAGCGTCATAATCATTAATGTTAATTTAAAAGCTCGCTTGTGAGATAAAAAGTTTTCTTTGGTCGCTATATCGACTTGCTGGGCTGCTATTTGCTTCTCTTGTCGATGAGCCTCACGATAAACTATTATGTTGCAGAAAACAACGACTGCAATAAGTGAAATTACGCCAGCAGTGATAATAGCTCTTACCATTTCCACGTCAATAAGCAACACGGCGGTGTTTATAATTAAAGTCAGGGTCCATGCAAGAGCTGTGGCTATCAGTACACGGCGTTTGGTCACAGTTTGAATATAAATATAAGGACGCATGATGGCGATGTACCGATCCACTGATATTAAAGACAAGTGAACAATGGAAGACAAGCAAAATAAGGAGTTGAACAATTTTGAGGCAATTTGCATTGAACATGCACTGGCTGTGGTTTCCCCTTGTATGATATTCCATATCTGAGCAATAAAAAGAGGCTGGACAACTAATCCGACCATCACGTCAGTCAAGGCTAAGCAAGCCAATGCCATGTTGGACACGCTTTGCAGGCGTGCTTTGGTCTTCACAGCGGTCATCACCAACAGATTCAACACAAAGGTAAAAGGGCAAGTCATGGCGTGGATTACGATCAAGGCGACGAGAATAGCATAGGATAAATCGGACAAATGATCTGGCTTACCACCGATGAGACTGTAGATCACACAGTTCCCGGGGAACTCGTTTTGAATCTGGTGACTTGAGTTCATATTTTCGGCCGGGCTTCTGCTCCGTCTTGGACGTGTTAATTCTAGGAAATGTCGTTTAATTCTGACTCATTCAAGTTTTGTTTGTAGTCAAATTTTGACATTTTTAAGTGTCGTTCCTTTGAGCAAAATTTAATCTCGCATATGCTCAAAAACATTTTTACTAAAAAATAACAATATTATTTTTTTGTTCGAGTCTCTTTTTACATCACAAGTAAAACCGAAAGAGATTAAAGAGAGAAAAAAAAGAATTCATTTTCCTCTAGTCTGTAAAAAAAGCGAAAAAGGATATTTTGCCTTTTTAATTTTATTATCCAAACTGATATATTTGAATAAGTTTTAGCACTAGTTCATGGGAGATATTAAAATTCAACTCTGAATCATTAATATGAGACAAAAGTATTATTTTGTTATGGTTTTCAAGTAACTGTTATTCTATCTTGTTTGCCACTCGAAAGAAAACGTTTCGAGTATATTTGAATTTCCTCTAAGAAGAAAAACTTAACTTTAGGCTAACAGGTAACGAGAAAACGGTTTCGCTTCTAGTAACGGCTTTCTGTTACTCGATGTGAGAGTGTTTACGAAACAGGTACCCCAAGCTCTCTCGTCACAATCATTGTTTATAATAGCTTGTTTGGAACGAATATGACGGTATGAGTAAAACTTACTGGAAATTTCCTTAAACCGCAAAAAAAAGCAAAGAACGCACATAGAAAATGAAACCGGGAAGCATGGAGAGCTGGATTTTTGCGAATTTTAGCCCTAATTTATGATCGCTAAAAGTTTAGTTTACGATAGATTTTTGATCGTAACGAGTTTGGGGTGACTTTGTTTACAGGTTTCACTTAATGGGCGAATAGTAAAATTAGTCCTTAAAATAAACCCATTCGAACTCATTTTCTTTGAAGGCAATGACTAGGAGGGGACAGACATCAAAACACTTCAGCGCGACTTGTGTATGAAGGAAATCACGTTCAAAAAGTACTAAAGAGTACTAAAAAGAAATGTGTTTGAAAGTTGAAGTCAGAAAAAAAGTAGTTTTGCCTTATATATCGCGTATGACCAAAAAAAAAAAAATAAGTAAACACGAAACTCATTCATGCAAAAAGAGTGGGCGGAAAATTCAAACGAAAAAATAATTTAGTTAAGCTGGAAATCCCTTCAAAGAGATGAACGTCATTTGCAGAAAACCTACAACCCGAAAGAAAAAAAGCTACTGGGAAATGATCGATCAGAACAGGTGCTCATTTAATCCAAAATTTTGGGGTAGTATAGCGTTGGTGCATTTATTTTACCTTTAAATTCAATGGTTATTTTGGGATATTTCCCATATCCATACTAGCCGTACAATTAGACTGTTTTTGCGATTGATAGGTGAAGTTCTTTTATTTTTTTAAAAAATGCTAAAAATAATGTGACACTAAGAGCAAAAAATTGTGTCAAATAAGAATAAAAGTTTCCTTTGCAAAGCTTCCAAGAGATCGAAGCGGACGAAAGCAGAAAAGTAAATGAACTTTCACGACACGATTTTCAGTCCGGAGGTTTTGGTCCAGTGTTTTTGCGAGCGGAATATTTTTTAACATGTGAATAGCAAAAAAGGGCCTAATAAACCCATTCGAATTCATTGTTTTTCAAATCAATGACTATTAATGCTGAAGGCACACATATATTAACATACTTAGAAGTGACTTCTGTATAAAGAGAATTACGTTAAAAGTACCAAAGAGTCCTAAAATTGAAATATGTTTTAAGATTGACGTCTGAAAAAAAGTAGTTCTCACTGTATCCGTATACAAATATTTCCTATATATATAGCGTACGATCAAACAAAAATAGACGTGAAACTATATTTTAAATGCATGGAGATAGAGAAATTAAAACCAAGAAACAATTCAGTTAAGCAAGAACTTCCTTTAAAAAGGCGAACGTCATTTGAAAACGAAAACCTTTTTGGAAATGATCGACCAGAACAGGTGCTATTTCAGCATAGCAAACCCAGCTTGTTTTTTAAAAAATTTTTTTTGCAATTTTTTTTGCATATTTTTTTAATGGTGAAGATGACTTCGCAATAAAAGAGCAAAAAAGGGTATAAGGGTAAAAGATGTTATAATTGCAAAGCCACTCCTAAATGTGCGGTATGTCAAATGGATACTGCTAAAATAAGGAATGGGGAATAGGGATTGAGAAATTGAAAATGTGAAATCGTTGTCAGTGTTCATACCATAATACCAAGAGCCATATTATGGCTCTTGATAATACTCATCTCTCGGATTCAGTTGTTGTTTTAAACGAAGAAACGCCTTCAACGGCGTAATAAGGTTGAATCATTATTATTGTTCTTTTCTTTTTTCAAGCGCCTGGCTTTTTTTAAGTTGAATGATTAGAAAAAAATACTTTGTGGTACTTATCAGAAGCATATATGCTTCTGTACTTATTAACAAGGCCGTCGTCCAGAGTCATCAACGATTCGCCGATTCCCTATAACATACCCATAAATAAAAGCCGTTTGCTTTTCTGATAGCTGTATTGTTTAAAAACATGTTATGCCTATTCTTAAATGTATTTAAAAGAGTAAATTTAAGATAAAAGGAATCCAAAAATCGTCAAAATATCAACACTTGTAAAGGAGATTCCGCTCGGTCACCCATCCAAGTATTTTCCGCGCTCGACAGCGCTTAACCCTGAGAAACAAACACGTCTGCACTCACAGAAGAAGCAAAAAGAACCTCCAACTGCTATTATACAGCATGATTTCACCGGTACAGAAATTAAAAGTAACATAGTTTTAACTAAGTGAAAAGCGTATCTGATTACATTATTAATCCATGCCATTTCGTGTCGTTTTAAAGACATCTGTTTCAAAGAAGCCCCATCCTATCTGTCGCCGTTTTTCTTGCCATTTTAAATCAGTCCCTCTTTCTTCGTCGTAGTGTGCTACATAGCCGTTCTTTGTGTTGTCAAGCAACACAAGCGTTGCGTGACGACACAAAAAAACGGCTGTGTAGATGAGACTATCTTGTTTTTAAAATAGAGGAAGGAAGTAGGCTTCTTCGAAGCCGTTTCGGGATGTCACGCAATGGTGGTTGTTGTTGGCTCGGCCGCGGCCGTCGTTGCCGCATGGGAGCTTAATCAACGAAGACGGCGACGACAACGAGAATGGCAATAAACCAATAGGTTTAGATTGGCAAAATAACAACCTTGCACGCGGATCACACTTTCTTGTACATTCCTTTGCCGACTACGACGTGAAAATGCCTATATAATTTCACGTTTTGTCGAGGACAGGAACTCAAAAAAACACTAATTTTCTTTTTCTTTTCCCGAACTTTGATACAACCTTTAAGAATTTAGCTCCAAATAAATTTGCAACATTTGACGAATTAAACGAGATGGAATAAGCGCGATAAAGTTTGAGGCAGCCCAAATTCACTTTTTTCTTCTTAGATTTTTTACGGTTATTAAGCAAATCAGCATAAAGTAATTATTGCCGGGATATTCAGTAGTCTGCTCACAGCCGTTTTTAGTGTCGTCACGCAACGTTCCTCCCCACTAGTGGGGAGGTGCGTTGCGTGACGACACTAAAAACGGCTGTGTAGCAGACTATGATATTCAGTTAAATTCATGTTCATTGTTTTTTTAAAAAAAACCTACCCGTGCAAAAATTGAACCGAGATCTCGGCGAGATTGGCGAGATTTGTATTGTCGCAGAGATCTCGACGAGATCTCGCCGAGATCTAGGCGAGATCTAAGCGAGATCTCGATGAGATGACAGAGATCTCGTCGAGATCGCGTTAACCTCGACGAGATCTCGGGGAGATTTGTATGTCTCTGAGATAGCAACAAGATCTCGCTGAGATGAAACTGATCTCGTTGAGATTAACGAAATCTCGACGAGAACTCGGCGAAATTTGTAATGTCTCTGAGATCGCGGCGAGACAAACGAGATCTCGCCGAGATCTCGCCAATACCTCGGCGAGATTTGTAATGTCCCTAAGGTCGCGGCGAGATAAATGAGATCTCGCCGAGATCTCGTCAAGAACTCGGCGAGATTTGTGATGTCTCTGAGATCGGCACGAGATGAAAGGGATCTCGGGCGAGATACTGACGAGATCTCGCCGATATGAAAGAGATTTCTGCGAGATAAACGAGGTCTCGCAAAGAACCCGGTGAGATTTGTAATTTCTCTGAGATCGCGACGAGATCTCGCCGAGATAAAAGACATTTGGGCGAGATAAAAGAGACCTCGCCAAGAACTCTGCGAGATTTTGCGAGATCTCGGTGAGATCTGGTCGAACCTAAGGCCCTCATTTACATGGAGGTGGGGGACCCCTTAGAAGGCCTAAATGTGATAAAAACGACCCTAAATGTAATAGAGTCCTAAACGTAATAACATTTTGTCCTAAATGTAATAAAGTCCTAAATGTAATAACATTTTGTCCTAAATGTATTAAAGTCCTAAATGTAATAACACTTTGCCCTAAATGTAATAGACTCTTAAGTTGCAAATTACAGTAATTACTCGAATAAGCGCCGCCCCCAATAAGCGCCGCATTTTTTGGGGGGAGTTAATTAGCGCCGCGGCGCTTATTCCTGTAAATACGGTACTAAGCGGTATTACTATGGTATTAAGCACTGCTCTCAAAAAGCGCCGCATTTTTGGAGAAAAAAGTTAATAAGCGCCGCGGCGCTAATTCGCGTAAAATCGGTACATTTCCTTATGCACTCTGAAACTTAACGTTTACAAATAAATTGCTTGTAAACGACAAAGTAACAGTATTTTTCTAAAAAAGCAATATTTAAGCAACTGGAAGACTTTTTCCCTGTGATTGCATAGCCTGATATAAACACTCGAGGGGTTGGGAGAATTCGAG